ATGCATCCTGCAGACTGATCCGTCTCTAACAAATTCATTAGGTTCTATAAGATTCCTTGTGATCAGATCCCTGTAATTATGCATCCCGACGTCTTCCACTTGTTTCTGTCCTACGATACTTATGCTCAGGAAGCGTTATAGACTTTTATTCATCAACTATGGACATCGTCGGTAGCTGTTTCTGATTTTTTTATTGATATAGATGAACTAAGTGTTAACGTGATGGATGCTGACGATTGGTAGGCTATGCCTGCATGTGATATTTTAGATATTCTAATTCTATTAACCAACTGCGAATGTCGATAGGTACGACCTTTTTGTTCTCGTGAATAATAAGATTTTAGCCAATTTTTTAAATATATAATGGCAACGGTGGGTATTTTTCTAGAAAAAATAGATCCAATGGTTATGGATGGTTAGAGTCTTTAGATTTGATGGCTAGATGTTTCTGATTAACGTGAGAATTTTCTAGTATTTATCTTTTTCCTAGCGTGTCTAGTAAAGATTAACGTGGAGCCTCTATTGAGGCCTCTAATTAGTAATAGTAAGATGAGATAAGATGGATTGGAGGATTGGATGGCTGGGCTACCCTTGGTGGCCGAATTGAAGCAGCTTTGTGGTGAATGATGAGAGCAGGATGAGGAGGAGGATAGGGGTTGTTTGTATAGTTCATTTGTAGGTAGCGTGCTAGCTAGCAGTCATCGTGTGTGTGAACTGTCAACCGGCAGGCTCAGATAGAGACTTGAAACACACGGAGGAATACGAACGAGGATGTGGGGCAAAGGATTTGTTGCTCCGCGCATAACCAATCATTGGGGACACGTGGGCACATGGGCCCATATGTCATGCACCCGAGAACGCTGAAGCGAGACAAGTGGTGGGAGAGGATCACATGGCAGATTCTGGGCAGTTTTCACCTTGACTTCTACTCCAACCTGGTGTTGCAAATCATTGTCACCCCTGGTTTTTGTTCCAACCAGACGGTGAAAATGATTTTCGCTACTGCTTTTTGTCCCAATCCAGCGATGAAATTAATTTTCACCGCTAGTTTTATTTTGAATTGTCTGTGATATATTATCACCAACGATTTCAATAAAACTAGAGGTAAAAATGCTTTGAAAAACTACTTTTGTTGTAGTGTATGGGCCCACTCAAATGAATTTAGGTCAAATACATACATCTCCTAATTACTAAATGCTAGGGCTATTCTTTTTACATATTACAAGTGGTACAACTAGGTATTATGAATAATATTACAGTTGTTTATGTTAATTATTTTTCCGTATTTTTAGATGATGGTAACGTGATTGTTAACAAATAATTGGGCTTCGGGTAGTGGCTCACCTAGAGGTGTTTGTGCAACATGTCACATGGTTTGTGAGGGGCTCAGGCTTTTTATTCACAGGTGACAAATGATAAGAAAGCGTATGCTTTGACCGAGGGACTGAAGAACGGAGAAAATATAAAGTTGTCGACACCAAAGTTTACTTGTATTTGAACTCTAGAATTTTGGTATAAAGTTTGCCTTAATCCAACTTCAAATGAAAAAATTATAAATCTTTCGTGCAGACCAAGTGATACATTGCTATGGTAGTGATACGTAGATTTTCGCTGCAGGTTCGGTTATAGCCACGATCTTGCAGTGGAAAACTGCATCACTGCCAATTGTAACCACGGACCACTCACCTCTAGTTTCAAAGCAACCTGCAGTGGTAGTGCCAGTACCGATGTTTTTGGAGTACAGCCTGACCCAAGCCCTGAATCCATAACATGAGGTTATACTTGGGTCATCGTCAACCGCATGGATGGCGGCCTTCACAGGATCACCAGTTGTTCCCTACACAGCCATCACCCTAAAGGTCGAGCTAGCAAGTCATCTAAAATAAATCATTGAGATACATACCACAAAACCAATGCCACATCTTTTTTCCTGCCAAGATTGTCTTCCTTCTTTGAAAACAGTTATGCGTCAAAGATATAAAAATAAGTTTAAGTTGGAGGAAAGGCATGCCGAAAGAATTTAAAAGAAATGGTTTTGTGACTCTCGAGAAACTGGTTGTTTTCATGAACATATCATATTGCTTGAGCGCCCTTTTCTGGATGATGTTTACTGTCCTTTGGATCTAAGATTATGGGCTGCACAAAGCACGGTTGATGTCCTAGTTAACAAAGTACTCCTATATATTCAAGCACACATTTTGATATTTAGTTGGATAGTTCCATGAACGTGGAGACTCATTCGACCACCAGATGGCCCTTCTATTTATTCCATTATTATGAGTAAAATGGCAGCAGCTCTCTGATCCACTGTTCCTGATTGTGCTAGGCACGCCGTTGGAGACTTTGTCCATCGGGGCTGCTGGCTCAATAATTCCGGTGCATGCCTGCCTGGCCAGTTGGCTCAACAATTCCGGTGTCTGAATAATTATCATACTTTAAATACTACTCCCTAGTCCCTACATTACAAATTATAAGTTATTTTGGTTTTTCTAGCCGGTGTCTGAATAATTTCCCAGGGCTGGCTCAACAATTCCGGTGTCCGATTAATTTGCTAGAGCAGTGTACTTTAGATGGGGCGCATTGGCAGCAGCCGTGCGTACACTAGCTGATGCTACAGTTGTCATTATCAGGTGCAGCAGTCCTGGCCCATCGGATATATTGCCACAGATGATCCGGTACATTTGTCACTCTCGGGTGCATGTATGTATGCCAGCTATCCGTCATCTATCGCCCCGTTCGGCTGTGAGCGGCCGGCTGGCTGGGCTGACCAGCACTTTTATAGAAACACTAGTTTAAAGTTTGGGCACAGGGACTCTATTCATCACTCTGCTTCACCATATTACTGATCCGGTACATGTATGTATGCCAGCTATCCGTCATCATCTGTATGTCCCCTACCAGCTACAGAGCAGTACTAGAAATTGATTGATCCATCGGATAAACGACGGAGACTTAGCCTATCAGTCTTGTTCGTACATGTCCTCATCAGTACTATATAACTTAGGGTACTGTTCATTTAACGTCTAAGACCAGCTTTATTTTCCCGACCAACGGCGCCAAATTGTTTGTTTGTATACGTTTGTTTCTCTTTTTCTTGGTTCCGATGTATATATATTTGTTTGTATGTCTTTTATCATTTCTTGGTTCCGATGCATGCAAGGTCTGTATATGCTCTCATCACTCAGCCATCCAGTTGGACGGAGGAGAACACCATGGTGGCCCAAAAGTAGCGCAGTTGCAGGTGGTGTTGGCTTTCTGCTATGCTCTGTTACGGTTTCCTTTCGTTCAAAGCAGAGGATGTGTTGGTGCAGGCTACGAAGCAGAGGACTGACATACAGTTCTAGGAAAAGCAGAGGACAACCTTGGTTACAGAACGTTTCGTTCATCACCACATGTCAGTTCATTATAACAATCCAAGGCGGAACCTTGGTTAATTTACAAATATGCGAGCAAAAGAATATGAAAACACTAGTGCCAAAGTTTGGGCACAAGCACTCTATTCAGCACTATGCTTCACCATATTATAATTCCAAGCGTCGTTCAGCCCATGGCAATCTGTACAGAGTCCCGTGTGCTCTTGGGCCCATTAGAGGGTTCAATGGATCCAGCCTTGATCTGGATTTTCCTTCGGGCGGACCGGACTGTGCTTTAAGGCCTAGCTCACACACTTTGACATCTACGCAGTCCAACCAGGCGTGTTCGGATGGGCCACCAGGAGGGCAGTCTCCGTTAACTGTGGCTGTTGTTAATCCGTTACACTGTTTGGCCATAACTGAAGAACCATGCATAAAGATAATTGAAAAAAATAAAGTGTGTACTAAGCGGTACTACGTAAAGTAGTACCACTGCACACTGCCTTGTGAGCCAAAAGTAATAAGTACTAGTTACCTGAATATCTACGTGATTTATTTCTGATATGGCCGTGCAGCAATTAATCTTCATCTTCAGCGATTGTACTCCCTCCGTCCCAGAAAAAAGACCGTTGTTTTAGGAATGAATCTGGACAGGTGATTGTTCAGGTTCATTTTTAAAACAACGGTTTTTTTGGGACGGATGGAGTAGTCGATAGTGGGTGACTTATATGGCTCATCTTGTTGTACTCAGATGATCTGCTGCGTATTGTCATCCAAGTATCTGTTTGCTTTACACGAATGGGCTGGGAAGAACAAGATCATTATGTACATGCTACTTTTTTCTTTTTCACAAAGATTGTGTACATGCGACTTGACGGATATCTTCTTCTACAAGTGGAATTGTGAATTGGTCTGTCGGACAATACAGGGTGGCTTTTATTTTGTTTGGTCATTTTGCTTCACAAGTTTTTTTAGACGATTTTGCTTCACAATGTTAGAACGACCAATTTAAGACAAAAAGAATGACGGACAAATAGTGTCGATTTGACCACCAAAGCCATCATGCTTGGTTCATCTGTTATCCACAACTCACAAGGAAGGCTCGTTCTGGACATTTGCCCTGTCTCCGTCAGAAAGCAGAGCACAACATAATCACCATGATGATCTAGCAGGGATCAGCATACCATTATGGTGCTCCCATGTCTGCTCCCTGTTTACTACAAATCCTGCACCTCAGGTCCATTACTTCAATAAAAAACATACATAGTAGATGAAATATAGAGGCCCAAGTAATACAAGAGTGCCTCCGGTTACAATGATTCCTCAGTATGTCGTTCGTAGGCCTCTGTACACAGTCTGGGTGTGACCCACCCACCGGCAGCATCAAGCAGAGCAATTGAGCAAAACAGAGTACTGGCCGCTGCAAGCTAGCAGGATGCGGCTCCCTGCATATATATTAGTTACATACAGGATCAATGGATAATGATACTTCAAAATTGAGTGCGTATTAAGCGGTACTACTACGTAGTAAGTACTACGACTGCACATGTAGGTGCGGTGCACTGCACTGTGAACCAAAGTAATGTGGAACACTTGTTACCTGAAAATATTAGTACGTGATTTATTTCTAGTACGGTCGTGCAGCAATTAATCTTCATCTTCAGCACAAATGGTCCGTGACTTGATATGGCTGATCTTGTCGTACTCAGATGAGCTTCCTGTTAACAAGGACTCATACAACTCCTTGCTGCAAGTCAATTTGAGATATCTTGGTCTTACTGTTGCCACATATTCCGGAACTGTCTCCATGGTGCCGTCCATCATCTCCATGCTGTCAAGTGACGAGACTCCTTCTAGCACCTCCACATTTGGGCAGTATAAGATCTCGATTTTCTGCAACTTGCAGAGATTGCTGATCCTTCTGAGCTCCGGGGAGTCGAATACTTGAAGTTCCACAACTGAAGGGAAGTTCTCTATATATGTCAGGTTGCTCAGCTTGTACAGGCGTACTTCTCTTAGAGCATGCCTCCTGCTACTGGCGAGCCCTGGCGGAAGACAAGTTAGCTTGCAACTATCAATTATGAGCTCCTTGAGTGCAGGCATTGCCATGGCATCTACTGTTGCATCCTCACCCTGCTCCTCCCATTCCCACTCCTCCCATTCGCATAAGCCAGCCAGATGAAGAGCTGCCAGGTTAGGAAAACCTACTACTGATCCAGTAGTGACAATACCTCCACCCACTGCCAGGGAGGAGGGTGACTGGAACTCAGGCCCAACACTCTTGATGGCAGGTGCGTCATTAATGGCCAGAGTCTCCAAACTAGGGAGCTGGCACAGACCGTCAGGGAGTTGGGTGCAATAATGAAGTTTGTCCATCCTTAAAATCCTCAGGCTCTTAAAGCCACATGTAGCTGGAACCATCATCCAATTTGGTAGCCGGCTACCAAAGTATCCTTCCATGTGTATATGCCGTATGCTGGATGGAGGGCTGAGCTTCTCAATTACCTCCTCCACTACTCTCTGCTGCTGCTGCTTGTTGGTTTCATCCCTCAATCCCATGAATCCGGTGCTACTCCAATATAGTCCCAAGTAATCAAGGTGCTCCTTGCTACTAATCATGGCCATTCCAGCGGACGAGCTAGCAGACACATTTTCTAGGCCATGTAAAGTAAGATCCCTAAGCTTGAAAAGAGGCCCTATCTCTTCCAAGCTGCACCCGTCCCTGTCCCCGTTGTTGTCCAAATGTACTCGGAACCCATAAAGTGTTCTTAGATTTTTCAACTGACCAAACCCCTTGGGTATTAAAACATTGTCATGGGAACCATACATGCTAAGAGTTCTTAGATGCAGAAGTTGTGTAATGCAGCTAGGAAGATGGTCTAGCTGTGGACATACCTGAACCAAAATGTGCTGCAAGAACTTCATCCTATGAATGTCTCCAGGTAGCCTAGATATATTTGTATCCTGGAAGTGGAGGTATCTCAGGTGCCTCAGCTGACATAGAGAGTCAACCAATCTATCACAATCAGTACCCTTTATAAAAAGCACTCTTAGGGTAGACAATCTCCCAAATGAGTCACTAGGCTGAACATTAATTCTTTTTTTTTATAATTAATGTTCTTACTGATTTGTGCTTCTGTAGAATATCCCATTCTAGTGCTGACTTGGTTGATCCTATAGACAAGTGACGTACATGGCTGATCTTGCTACCACCATCATCTTGCTGATCCTGGACCACCAATGATTCTTATTTAGACATAAACTCTGCAAAAGATCGCACCACGTCATGCATGGTGCATGAGTATCCAATGAGAGCTGATTTTGGTTCAATAAGATTCCCCGTGATTAGCTCGTGGTAATACCCATCTGCTATTTCTTCTAGCCAATCATCATATGACCTACTGCTTCTGTCTGGTGGATGGATAAATCCCTCACTGATCGACATCGGAACAACTTCACTTTGCAGAATAGTTGTACCTTTAGGGAAAAGTGAGCAGTATAGGAAGCACTGCTTCAGCTGGGGAGACAAATCCTCATAGCGCAAGTAGATTGCGTTGTCCAGTTCCTTAGGCAATCCAGCTACTGACCATGCATGATGCTTCAAAACAGCCTCCCAATCACCCTCGCTTCGGGGCTTCGTACTTAGCAGTCCTCCCATCACTTTGATAGCAAGTGGTAAACCTCCACACTTACTGATAATTTTCATCCCGACAACTTTCAGGTGATCTGTTCCATGTACCTACCAGCACAAACAACCATTTCCACTCATAAAACATATTTACAATATTTAATTTGTAAAATAATGGTAAGCAGTTAGCCGATTTGTTATACTATATAATCTTTTGTATATGCTGCCCCGCCTGCGCGGACGGAAGAAGCTAAAATGATAAATACTCCCTGTCACAAAAAGAGCAATCAAGGGATTCGCGCTAGCCGAAATAGCTCCAGTGACAAAATTTTAATAAATAATATTAGCATTTATGTCTCCCTACAAATTTATTATGAAAATATATTCTGTAATAATTTAATGGCACTTACTTTGTATCATAAATGTTAGTAGTTTCTTATATAATTTTGATCAAAATTTAAATTACTTGACTTCTTGGGAAGTGAGAATTGCATTATTTATGGAACAGAGAGAGTAGAAAGGTTCAGTTTGGAATTTGTGGGCCCACCTCACATTGGGAGCTGTCCATGGCAGTTCTGCCCAATGCATTGGCTGATTTGTTGATGGACACTAAATTTTTTGTTTCCATTCAGTTTGCTACCTAAATTTGCCTACATCGCACATTTAGGTTGACAAATCGATGACAAATATTTTTGTGCAACTTTTCATAACTGAATATTTGGCATGGAAAATTTCGAGAGCCAATCAAGCATGCCTTAAATATGCATAAATTGCCAAAATCAAATTATGATTCAGTGGCCAATCTTACATGTAGATGGGAGAGATGAGTAATTTATTAGAGACTTATAAGTGACCTTAGATTATGTTTAATACTAAAAAAATAATATTGATGCAAATTTAGAGGTACATTTATTACCTTTTTATAGTTGTACAAGTCGATAATTTAGATGCAGATGTTTATGTTACCTAGATTATTTTTACTAATGAAAAATATGGGTAATTTAGATGCATATTTAGGTGTTACTTTTGTTATTTTCATGATGATAGAGATGGATAATTTGGATGCATATTAGGGGGTTTCTTTAGGTTATTACTAGCAAACATACATGTGCGTTGCAATGGGAACTTTGTCATGTAGTTAGATTACTCATGTAGTGCTGGATATCTATTTAGTAATCACTTTATGTGTTTCAATTCATCTAAAATCAAACTCTATATTGTGCCTTGACACATGCTATATTTTTACTCATATGTGTACGGGAGGAAACTCTCAACAATTATGTTATTTGTTCCATTTCATTTTGGAATCGGGCTATGCACCACGCCTAAACACTTAACTTGTACGGACATAGGTAAATGTGGTGGACCATGGTAACACTTTTGTATTCTAATTTGTTTTGGAAATAGACTCTGCATCAAGCTTAGACATCCTACTCTAACTTGTACACAAATGGAATAGATTGAGTCTGTTGGATCCCATCGGGCAATTGTGATTGATGAAAGATAAAGAAACATTTTGGTCTTTAATATATGAAAGAAGGCACGTGCGTTGCTATGAAAGAATGCCTAAGAGCTTTGAAAAAAGATGTGTCATTTGTCCGGACAAGCTTTTAAATAAAACAAAAAATGAGAATTATTTTTGAATGATGGAAGCAATAATTAATACAATTTCAAGGGCATCACTAGGAAGTTTTTGGTGCCATTATCCGAAGACAGTGTGTAATACTCTGCATCCAGAATTTGCTTATTTGACCCAGTTCCTCAAGTGCAACGGGCCTGCATACACATAGCACCTCTCTTGCACTTCAGTCCTCAATTTGTGTAAAAGGATTAACCCAAAGATGCTATTTTTCGAATGACAAGCTCTCACCCTAATAAATATATAAGGTGGTAATAAACCCACCAATTGTAACTGCTCATGTGCCACATGGGCCAACAACAGGCATCTAACAGGCTGAGGTGTTACATTCATCCCATGAAGGGCTGATGTCCTCGGCAGCTCACCACACACAGCAGATGCCTAGAACCACCCCTTGGTACACCCCTCCCTGGTCACATGCCAAAAGAGTGGATGCTCTGAATACTACCTATAACACCATATGTCCGAAATCTACTTATAGCCCAGGTCCTCACGTGGAACGGGTCTGCATAGCACATCTCTTGCACTTTCATCATCACTTTGTATAATAAAAAGGTTAACCCAGAGGTGCTACAATTGGAATGAAAAGGATTATAAGCTAGCCCTCACACGCCCTCACGCTCCTAAGCTTCCAAGGTGGTACTAAACGCACTAACTATAACTCCTCATTTGGCAGATGGGACGCATGGGCCAACAACACAACTATATGCTTCTAACGGGCTGGTGTGTTACACAATGTTCACCATGTTTCCAATGAGCCATTGTCAAAACTTTCGGGCACTTTTGTGGGATTTAACTTGAAAATCATTCTCAAATATGTGTTGTTTAGGTTATCACTATGGATGTTGTCTTTAGGATCTCTTAAGCTTTTATGTCTTGTTGCAAGGTGGCTCCTTCCATGTAATGGGGGTCATTCCCTAATATCTGCTAGTTTTTTCTTAATAGGTGAATATACAACTAGAGTTTCAACTTAAGATATATGCATAGAAAATTACAATGACTAATAATAGGATAAAAGATGCAGTCCATGACATCGTAGCTCATCATGGACTATAACCATTGCGGACACACAGTTTTGTGATACAAAAAGGAAGAAATAGTGAATATTGATGAAAAACATATTGATTACTTGGTCAAATTATCACACTTCAGTAGAGGTAACAGAGTATCTATATGGTTATTATGTATAAAGAATAAAAGAGAGACAAAGGGCACAAAGACAAGCAATTTGATTAGATATAGGTACTAAACATTTCCACAAACTTCTAAGACTTATATCTCAAAGGTTCAAAGCTGTATAGGTGGACACGTAATGGATTAGTGTGGATAATTTAGATTCATATTCATGAGTCACTTTAGATTCAACAACAAAGCTCGATAATTTGGATGCGTATTTATGGCTTTACTAGGAGTTGTATATTGTAACTAGTTTGTAATACCATAGTTTTCTAAACCTACTATGTCAAAATAGGCCCTGAATAGATAGAGTTAAGGGAATAATGTGCATTAAACTGCAAAATAAATGGTATATGTGTTCACTAACTTGACCAGGTGTTGGCGGCAACTATTTGTTGAGCAAGGACCAAGCATCATCTTCGTTGAGTTGGCTGACATGATGTTGGTAGAAGGAGGCTCCGGTCCGTAGAGCTAGGTCTTCTAATCTTGTAGTGATTAGCACCCAATTGCCCTATTGATTTTTACTTGTATTTCTGACTGGAACACTAAGCACATTGCTCCATGCTACATTACTCCACACATCATCTAGGACTAGGAGAAACCTACCCATGGACAAGGTGTTGGTGAGCCTCCGTGAGAGGAGGGTCTTGCCTTGCACCCCACCATGGACTCCCCCAGCATGTTCAATTGTTGTCCTGAGAAGCTCAACCTCATCAAAGTGTTGGGTGATGCTTAGCCATATCTTCACTTTGAAGTGTCCTTGGACGGTGGTTTCATTGAAGATCTTCTGGGCCAAGGTGGTTTTGCCCATGCCACCTGTGCCAACAATGGCCACCACTTTGATGTCGTGGTGTCCATTGATGGTTAGCATTTGAGCAAGCTCCCTTGTCTCCCTCTCAATTTTCTCACCAACAATAGCTGACTCAACAAACTCAGATGTCACCTTCTCTCCAGTGGACATCCTCTGTTCTGGGTGGGATCCTAGATTGATGAAGTTGAACTTGTGAGCCTCTTCATATATGTTGTCCAGCCTCTGGTTGAGCTCCTTGATGCGGCTGCCTATCTTGTGTGCGAACACAGGATTCCGTAGACAGGAGAGCAATGGCTGGAAGCAGCCGGGTGACTTATGCTCCACAGTGCCACCACCTCTAGACTCCCTCTGCTTGTCAGCCTCGAGCTGGCATAGGTCAAGGATGTCAGTGGCATCATACATGGCGTTCCTGAGCTTTGTTGTCCATCTTTGCACGCTCTTGTCGGTGATGTGCCTCCTCTCGGCGTCAGCGAGGAAGGCTTTGATGCCTTCCATGTTGTCCTCCAGCTTGGTGATCTCGCTGGAGACGCCAAGCAGCACGGACACCTCTTCTTGGGCCATGTCCGCGATAAGCTTCACGTAGGGTGCTAAAGCATCCAGGACGGCCGCCATGGCTCAAGCCTATCTACCTGCTAGTAGTAGATCATACATATATAAGCACAGATTTGAATCAATTATCCCTAAAGAGCACATAACATGGTATAAAAATTAACTATATAATGCTACGTACTCGGCCGTGCATGGAATGGAGGTGGACAAAACTTCGGCGAAGGAAAGTGCTCACCTCAACTTCTTATTGCAGGGCTCTTTGCGGAATGAAAGTGTGGAAAAGAGAATGCGTGAACGGATGATCCAAGTCCAGCAGGAAGCGATTCTCCATGTATAGGAGTAGAGATGGGAGAATGGAGTAGAGGAATACCAAGTTGACTGAGACAGGTCCTTTGTATATTTCTCGTTCATCGATGTAATATAACAACGCCGCTAAAAGATTTGGAATCACATGCATGCCCGCTTAATTAAGTCTTCACTAATCTATTCACAAAAGAAAAAAAAAACAGTAATCTACACAGGCCGAGCGCCGGAACTACCACACAAAGTAATGAAGCTGGCCTGCTGGGGTCACATGCACGCACATGTAGTGTTTGTCTTCATCGATCCAGCATTTCACGTGTCTGTGTGCTGATCCGCTGCTGTTGTTTTCACTAGTGGCATCTCTCGATTTACGTACCCTACTCTGCTCTGCTTTGTTTTCACTAATTTGAGAAGTTAGATTTTTCTTATGTTTGACCAAATTTATAGAAATTCACACCAAATTCTTTGGCAACCGAGAACTGCTTTCTCTGCGTTCCTGGAGGGCAGACGTGGGTCCGACTCCCTGTTCACGTTGGTAGCCTAGGAACTTATGAATGGTGCTTTCCGTGGATCTTCAACCTCGGTCCAGCATCTACTCGCAACCATTCGGCACACTGCGGGTCATCAATGGATCGAAACTGGGGCAACCAGTTTAGATCGTTTAATTAGCGAGTAATAGTGTAGTCATTTCTTGTTTTGCTAGGGTGGGACAAAATTCGGTGCTGCCCAGATGCAAAGCGCATCCAGTGCCCACCCTTCCGCCCGGTCGACGCGTGGAGGCGCAGGGAAATCTGACGGTCGCGCGTCTGGGAAGCTCCTAGCGGCTCCGAACGGCTCGCTTGCCTGGCTCCTCGCGCATCTGCATGCATGGCTCGGCATCGCGGCTGCATGCATCGCGAGGCAGGGAGTTGGAATAGGCCTCCACGGGTCGAGGACCTGCATGCAGCATGCTGCCGTGCCTTGCCTACGTGGTGTGATTGGCCCAAAGATCACGTAGCGTTTAGTACAGTATGGTAGCTACAGTCAAGCGTGACCAATAATGGAGACTGAAATTTAAAAGATAAAAGAGGGTTCAACTGCAAACAAAAAT